TTCATCTATCATCCTACCAATCGACGCTGCTCGACGCCGCCACCAGCGTCGTGAAATAGCCCACGAAAAATAGACGCAATAACCGAACTCGCATTGGTATTCTCACTGTGGAGGGGGCTGCGTCCCTTTCCCGCTGGAGGCTACCAACGATATTTAAACTAAATGAAAATAATAAATGCATATATAGGGAGCACAAGACGTGCCCTCCCGTGAAGATTCAGTCTGTAGTCAAATGGGTTATGACATTATGTAGCCAGGTGGGTGATAAGCAACGTTTCGGAGGAACTTACTGCTTCCATCTTTAGTGTAAAAGTTATTTTATTATTTACTTTATTTAGCGTATTTTGTTGAGGCACTATGCTGCAAGCGAGAAGTTCGCGGTTTCGAGTCCCGATGAGGTGGATCTTTTCAATTGACCTAATTCTTCCAGCCGCACTATGGCCCTAGGGTCGACTCAGCATCTAACAGAAATGAGTACCAGAAATCTTACTGCAGGGTAAAGGGCGGCCGGTGCGTAAAGCTGACAACTTTACAGCCATCTGTGAGCCGATTGTCTAAAAAATGTGGGAGCCTCTACGTCTCACAACCCTATGGGCCTCCACGGCTTGTTACAGAGATAGCTTTACTTTTTTACAGTACTTGAGCAATTAGACCTACTATGCTTCAGAAATTAAAAGTTTGTGAAAGGCGTGTTAATCATATAAGACACGCCAGATGCTTAGCATATTGCCCACATAATGTTCTTGTGAACATTTATCCGCATTTCCTTGACGATCTCTGTAATGGAGACGCAGACTAGGCTACGGGCCTGACGACCGAGTAGTTGGCGTTTGATTCCCGGTAGGTGCAAGAGGTTTCTCTGTCCATCAGGAAGTCCGGACCGACCCTGGGGCCCACCCAGACTCCTGTACAATGGAAACCGGAGGCTGTTTCTCACGGTGGGTAAAGCGACAAGGGCGTGAAACTGACCCCTGAAGGTGAAGAATGGTGGAACCATACCTCCACTCGCCGTGTCTTGATAGCATGGCGCGTAACTAATTAAAGCCACGGGATGACTTTACCTTGAGAGTTAATTTTTATCTTCCTCTTCGCTCTCACTTTGAAGCATAGGGCTGACCTTTCAGTTCCATTGGTCATTTTTACAGATGATAGGTCACCTTGAACGGGTGATCAGCTCGTCGTAAGGCCTCTACCTAAACACAGAACAACACAAACATAGAATAAACGCATACACGCACCAAACATCCATGCCTTGTCTGGGATTCGAACCCACGATCCCGGCTTCCGAGCGAGAGAAGACAGTACATGCCTTAGACCGCTACGCTACCGTGACCGGCAAGGGTTAATAGTAATTACTTATAATCGTGGTCCAGATTAATCTCCTTTTCGCTGACCATGGTTTGTACATCCTGGGCAGAACGCTTCAGGTTTAAGCCTAATAATGTTAGTAGTTACAGTTCAATCAGATAAAGGACGTGTGTGCTTTTGAACTGGGAAGGATGAGGAAGGAAACGTTCATCGCTGTTTTAACTTGTCATCCCGCCATTCGTCTGGAAGTACTGGAGAAAATCATGAAAAACTTCAGCCAGATAGCGCGTGTCCTAACAGAGAAGCGTGCTTTCGTAGGGTGTATGCATATGAGGCTCCGATCTCGGTCGTGGCAGCCAAGCTTCTACAAGCGGCTCGCTTCTCTTCGTGAACAGACGATCTATTTGTGTCCACCCACATGTAGCCCGCTCCTGTGGCGGAAAGAGTGTATCTGAACACGCCAAATGGTAGACAAGCAGTAGCGCAGAGGTTAGGAATGCATGGAACTATACCTCCACTTCCTCATATGACTTCATGGAGTGGTGGTGCTTAACTGGGCACAGGGACATCTTTACTTTTACGTTTTGTGTAATTTACTTTCCCCCCAAAGGTATCTCCACCCTTGTCGTGGTGGTGGAGCTTGAGTGACTCTGTGACCTGGAGAGCTATGCCGGCGGTAGTTTAACTACCGGTAGGGTCACCCATGCCGGAAAGTTCAAAGGGTAGAGTCCAGGCTAAGAGAGATACCCTGGTCCTCCAGGTTGTGGGTTGGGCATGAGGCTAACAACCTCATCCTGTAAAAAGAATTTTGTTCAGAAATCTAACAACCGCTTAGAGAGATAGAATGGGATGGTATGGATTGGATTGGACTGGCTCAAGATAAAGACCAGTGTAGGGCTCTTGTGTACACGGTAATGAACCTTCGGGTTCTATAAAATGCTGGGAAATTCTTGAGTAGCTGCAGATCTAGCTGTTCCTCAAGAAGGGCTCATCCCCATAAATATTTTTTTAATGCTAGTGGGGTGGGACTAAGTCCCTTGTACTGCGGCCACTTCTGGCCTATTGTACCAGCCTCAGATGATAGGTGAGGGTGATTGTGGAGCAATTGGTGGAATGAAGATTGGCAGGGGAAACCGAAGTACTCGGAGAAAACCTGCCCCAGCGCCACTTCGTCCACCACAAATCCCACTTGACCAGACCCGGAATCGAACCCGGGCCGCCGCAGTGGGAAGCCAGCGACTAACTGCTTGAGCTATGGTGCGACCATCTCCACAAGTAAGTAAGTAAGTAAGTAAATAAGTAACAACCAGCCTCGGGTCATCATGCGTGGGTCCATTCCTATGGCAGCACGCATTGGGTGTGGAGGCCAAGGCTCACCCAGGGCTGTAGTTATAGGAACGTGCCTCCTCCAGCTTCGGGGTTGAAGCGTGACAACGAGACATTCCTCGAAACGTCGGCACTGACCTACAAGATTACACGGTGTCACAACCTAGAAGGCAACAATGTTAGCAATCATCGCCGTCAGAAATCCAAAATTTATAAACATGAGGCTCTGTTGAATGTTATTGGCGGGCTCGGTTCCCCTAACACCATATTTTCCCCAGATGTAGGTCTCGTCAAACGCGGTATATCCAACGGCGGTATTTTTCGGAAGAGTAAGTGCCTTGCGGTCGGAGAGGGATAACTTCATTTTAATCTGTGAAGATGACACGTTATGAGGATGAGGTGAGCAGGGCATGTAGCACGAATGGGGGAGAGGAGGAATGCATATAGGATATTGATGGGAAAGCCACAAGGAAAGAGACCACTGAGAAGACCAAGGCGACAATATTAAAATGGATCTTAGAGAGATAGAATGGGATGGTATGGATTTGATTGAACTGGCTCAGGATATGGACAAGTGGAGGGCTCTTATGAACACGGTGATGAACCTTCGGGTTCCATAAAATGCTGCGAAGTTCTTCAGTAGCTGCACAATTGACGACTTCTCAAGAAGGGCTCAGCTCCGTGAGCGAGTGAGTGTGAGGGCACCAGCAAGTTATGAGAGGAAGTGCATGGCTATAATCGGTTCCAAGTGCCATGCAAGAAAAGGAAATCAGGGATAAGTTTATGCACGTGTTGATGTTTGTTTCAAAGATTAGATACCACAAGTGAGTCGAGCGGAACCGTTTAGCTGCGCTGTGAGACTTGAACGTGTAAATTATTCGGATGGTGACCAGAGGCCACCATGTCCTTAACGAACTATTAACACTGTTATATTTCTCTCTAAAGCGGTAACACTTCTATCTTCTGTTAGAGAGGTGTCTTCTCGTAATGTAGGTCGGGCTCAAGACTTTCCTCATGTGACACAGCTCAGGCGGTAAGTCACGGGCTTCTCACCACGGTGCCCTGGGTTCGAGCCCCGATCAGATCATGTGGAAATTTGTGGTAGACAAAGTGGCACTGGGATAGGTTTTCTCCGAGTACTTCGGTTTCCCCTGCTAATTCTCATTCCACCGATTGCTCCACACTCATCATCTACCACCCGGTACAATAGGTCAGTTAGTGGCCGACGTACCAAGCGGGCTCAGTCTCCCCCCTTATTTTGTGTATTTATAGTTTATGCGAGAACGGCCGTGGGGATCCATTGCGCTGACCACGCGACAACCTAACGCGATGCACTAACTTCGCCGACAAGCGGCAGTCGCTCGCGGACTACAGGCCACGGAGTTTGTTTTGTTTTTGTATATGGAGTTTATGTGAGAACGCTCTCAAACTGCATACACTGTAACGACAGGATGACAGTGAATATTGAACTATGAAAAGAAGAGGTCGTGGCCTAAGTTAAAATGCTTGGAGCGACTGAGTAAAACTACGGGAAACTTCAGTCAGGGTTGTCGATGTCGCTGCCAATATTCGAAGTAGTGGTCACCCCCCCCCCTATCCAAATAAAAGTGGACGCGTTACCGCTTGATCCAGCTTGGTGAATGAATGGGGTTCCACACTCCGGCAGTTTGATCTCCTAAGAAAGAGCCCCCCCCCCTTTCTCGGTACCCGTTAGTATCCTTGTAACAATAGAATTGTTTATGCAGCACTAGACTAATATCCCTAGTCAATAACATCATGACCTATGAGCCGGGATAGCTCAGTCGGTGTAGCGACTGGCTACGGGCTGGTCGACCGAAAGTCGTCGTAGGGTCAATAATTTTCTCTTCTCCACGTCGTCCAGACGGTCCAGACCGGCTCTGGGGCCCATCCAGCCTCCTATATACTGGGTACCGCGGCCCCTTTCCCCCGGGGTTTAAGCACCCAAGGCGTGAAAGTAACCACTCACCTCCATCTAGTGCCGAGGTCACAAAATATGGCTCTATACATCACTCCCCCATATGTCTTCATGGCGTAGTGCTTGATTAGTTAAGCACATGGACAATTTAACCTCTTACCTATGAGCCGTGAACTCTCCAAGAACGGTTTTTGATCAATAGAACATGAAAAGCAGATTTTCCACCCTCGTTGGCTTGTCACAGATGCGCTTTGCTGGTTGGTGTATCCAGGTGAGAGCACCCTTATCGGAATACCATAGGATTGCAGTTACCGAAACTTGCATTATGCGCCCCCCACCAGCTGCTTTAGAAATCCCTGTGTTTCCACTGCCAAAAGGTGGGTTCGCCCCCCTCCACTCCGCCTCTACACAGCTGTCACAGGCAGCTGGAGTCGGCCAGTACAGCTCAGCGCTGTGTGCGAGGCGGTACGAATTGTGGCTGTCACAATACAGTAATAATCCTCATTTGGTTGTGCAGATGTTTCGGTCTTTTGTGAGTCAGAAACATATTTGATGCATGCTAATGAAAACAGGTAAATTAAGTATATTGCTGCCATCTCAACTGTGTACACTGTTGTTTTTTTTTGTCCTGCCTCACCCACATACAACTTTGTGACGTCATACTGGCAACAGGTAAACAATTACAGTAGGCATCCACAAAAATCACGTGACCGGAGCAAAGGTGAGGCTCAAACAGGAAGTGAATTTATATCTGACGAATTCACAGCATATGTTTGTTTAATAAGTGTATTTTCCTTGTCATATATTTGGAACTAGACATGTTTGTAATAAAGTGTTGTTGTTTTTTTAAAATGTCATTGAGGTACATTCCGTTTCCATGCTTCTTCGCCCATTAGTCGATAACTAATCACATTTGCGCATTAAATTTTTATAGATTTCGTCAAATGACATTGCATTTGTGAGTATGTAGTACGAATTGGACAGTGCAGTGAAGTTGTTCGCATGATTACCAAATTATAATCAGTTGCGTGTTTGATATTACAGTATCAGATTAAAAGTGTTATAACCTATATGTGACAGTAGTGAAACTGCAAGAAAATAATTCGCTTGCACTTCAAATATTGGTCAGTACTAACCGATTTTGTCATGGTCTATGTTATGGAGTTTCGCTGAGAATAAAAGAAAACACATTTACCAATATATAGGGAAGTGAAGTATTAATCGGTTTTATAAGTCGTGTGACTGAAATTGTGTCATGCCTCCGAACGTACACAGAGATCTTGGAAGAATAAAATATCGTATAATTTAAAAGTGAATCGATATTAATCGATTTTGTTAAGTGTATTGATATTATGGCATTTCACTGAAAATCAGGCAATTAACGTCTTACGTGGCCAAGATGCACGTAAATGTCACAGTTTATACTTGAAATATAATAGGTGAGCATATGAACGAGTGTATAAAGGATTTTCTAGTAAAACTGTGTTGACGCATCTGGCGCAAGCGCAATGAAAGTTTTCTGACAGGAATATCATTACAGTATCGTTTTAATTGGAATATCTTAAGCGAAATTAATGAAGGTAGATGTATCTATGTGATCCACTGTGGTCCATAGTATTTAAAACCACCCTGTCTGTCTGTCTAAATGAGAAATACTGACGAAACGCTAACAGACATGGCGCATAGTGTAAACAATTGCGAACAAGTTCCTATGATGGCGGGCAACAATAGCTACACACTGCCGCGCATGAGACGGGATCCAGCCAGTAAGCCAACGGTGAGGATCGTGGAAAATCCGCCACAACGCCGACCCCTGAGTCTATACGACAACTTGCAGCAGCGTGGAGGTAGCGGGAGCATAGCAAGTGCGGCAGTGTCGGTGGGAAACCTCACGGAGACCGCAACCCCATCGGCAATGGACAGAAGCCCGTCCCAAGCCAACTGCCTGAGTACCACAGTTCCACAGAACATAGCGGCCACCAACATCGCCGGCAGGCACACACCCACCCGGAATTCATTGCGACATAGTCGTATGATTGTCCTCAGCCGCACCGGAGGAAAAGGTGACTCTTTCAATATGTTTCAAGCTTAAACAGTTTTACGTGCTATCTGGCATAATTCTTTGGCTTTGATGTTCATTTATAGCAGATGCAAATGTATTTCTTGTTTCAAAAGCTATCAGCTTATACATATTTCTTGTTATCTTTGCGTTCCGTCAGTTACAAGGGTATACAGCGTCCAATGAAATGAGGGCCGCCGATCACATTGGCCGCGCGGTCTAAGGCATGAACCGTCTTCACCCGCTGGAACACTGGAGTCGTGGGTTCAAATCCCACTAAAGTCTTCGATGTCTCTTAGCGTTTATTCTGTGTTTGTGTTGTCTTCTGGGCAGGTAGCGGCCTTGCAAACGGGCTGATCCCACATCCAAGGAGACCTACCGACTGTGTATAGGATTAAGAAACTGAAAAAGCGGCCGATGTCGAAAGGTTTCTACAGCCATAGCGAGAGAGGAGAGGAAAAAACGAAATTAGAGTGTACTTATATACAATTGTACAAAAATAGTTTTGGGGTTTCAAGAACCACAATTTAGAATAATGAGAAATTTATTCAATGAATTCATATTTTATTCCGGCCGCGCCATAGCTCAAGCGGTTAGTCGCTGGCTTCCCTCCGCGGCGGCCCGGGTTCGATCCCGCGTCTGATCAAGTGGGATTTGCGGTGGACAAAGTGGCGCTGGGGCAGGTTTTCTCCGAGTACTTCGGTTTCCCCTGCCAATCTTCATACCACCAATTGCTCCACAATCACCCTCACCTATCATCTGGGGCTGGTACAATAGGCCAGAAGTGGCCGCAGTACAAGGTACTTAGTCCCACCCCACTAGCAATAAAGAAAGTATGTTTTAAGTTTAAGGTGCACCACAAATAGTGTGGATGACGATAAGTTTCCACACGTGCACCATTCGTGACCCTGCGCATGTCCAATCAATATTCCACTTGTCATGTGCGCTGTAGCAGCTTTTCTCTCTCTCTCTGTGGCTGTACAGCCATTTGGACCTTGGCCGCTTTTCAGTGTCTTCATCTTTTACACGGTCGGTAGGACTCTCGGACGGGGATCATCCCGTCGCAAGGCCGCTACCTAGACATAGAGCAGCACAAACACAGAATAAACGCACACAGATATCCATGCCTCGAATTGGATTCGAACCCAGTGTTCGAGTGGCCGAAGACGGTTCATGCCCTAGTCCATTATGGTTAGAAAAAGGCACTATGTTAAATTAAATTAGTGAATCTTAAATGTTTATTGTTTGTTTCGATTTCTGTGTTTTACATTTTAGCAGTAACTGTATACCTCCACCCTACTACTCTTACTAGTAAGGTTATGTAAGATTACCCACCGCGACGGCCCGGGTGAGATCCCGGGTCTGGTCAAGTGGAATTTGTGGTGGACAAAGTGGCGCTGGGGCAGGTTTTCTCCGAGTACTTCGGTTTCCCCTGGCAATCTTCATTCCACCAACTGCTCCACAATCACCCTCACCTATCATCTGGGGCTGGTACAATAGGCCAGAAGTGGCTGCAGTACAAGGGACTTAGTCCCACCCCACTAGCAATAAAGAAAATAATATTTAACGAATTATGAGTTCCGGAATATTTTGGCGAGGCCTTTATGAATGGTAAAGTTTAAAGAGGAACGTTGGAAGATTTTCCGTGCGCTGATATCCGGGGAAATCCCAGAATACAAAACTTGGAAAAGGAAGGAAGGGCTCTTCCCCTGACTATGCATGTTGCATTCTTTTGTACTGAGTAGTTGGGGGGGGGGACAGCTGTGTCACACATTGGAATGCCTCCCCCCGCAGTTGCCATATTTCAGATAGGAGAACCTTTTGAAAAAATCTGCAGCTAACAAATCGTTAAATTGTCCTCATTGACCTATACAGACTGAATGTGCTTGTACACGGATCGGAGAAGTAAATTTATATTCACAGGAGCTCGGCATTTACAGTGGTTAAACTCTGTGGTCTAGTGCTCAGAGTTCCTGGCTACATATCCAGAGGTCCCGGGTTCGATTCCCGGAGCTACCAGATTTTCTGAGAAGTAGTGGGTCTGGATCGTGTCTACTCAGCCTCATGAGGATAATTGAGGAGTTATTTCAAGGAAACAGCTGCTCCGGTCTAGAAAACCGAAATTAACGGTCATGAGGATTCGTTTCGCTGACCACGCGACACCCTCTATCCGGTAAAGTTGGCATTAACTTCGCCGACAAGCGGCGGTCGCTCGGTCGGCATAGTTCGCTTGCGGACTACAGGCCACGGAGTTTAAATCGTTTGAAGGTCATTTAACTGTTAGCAGTGGGTGGCATGCAGAGCAGAATGGTGTGATGAGCAGGTTGCATGGCTGACTGGGGCGAAGTCATGAAAGGCAAAGCTTAAACACTTCGGTCACGCGCGAATGGTCCGGGGGAAAATTTCGAACTGTGTACGAAATTTAATTCACTCGCTTTCCCATCCCACCGTCCCCAGAGAATCACAAATTAGTTTTACAGATTCACCATGAGCCAGGATAGCTCAGTAAGGTTACTTACGAATATTGGATGACTCGTTTCCGACTACAAGAAGGGACAAGATTGTTTCTGTTTGCTACCCCCAGTATAGCGACGTATTGTGGGCTGGACGGCCGGGGTTCGATTCCCGTCGGGGGGAAGAGATTTTCATCTATTCCATCGTCCTGTCCGGCTCTGGGGTCTACCCAGCCTCCTATCAATGGATTCCAGGACTCTGTCCCTTGGGGCTAAATGGGCGGGTCGTGAATTTTACCACTCGCCTCCATCCAGTGCCTAGGATAAGAACGGTGGAGCTATACCTCCACTTCTCCATTCATCTTCATTGCATAATGCTTATTTAAGCACAAGGATAACTTTACCTTAACACATGCTGGTTTTGGGGACCCACTCATCCGTCAGTCAGTGGAGTTTCGGAGGCCATATGCCCGTACTGAACGCGACATCTTGTCCGTTAGTGTCAAAATGCTCTTCCTCCATATTCTTCTCCTCTTCCACTTTCTTCTTCTGTTTCTTCTCGTTACTTCAGGCCAATTCGAGCCTTAGCAGATGCGGACAGGAGGTAGGGCTCTCAGAATGGGAATCCCGAGCATGGCAACGGTGCTGCCCTCACACAACATATGAAGAGCAGCAGTGGATCATCTAGGCCAGTGAAGGATGAAAAATGACAGGAACAACTCACGTGAAAAATGGAGGTTGTCCAAGCTACAGTACACCTCATCGCCCGTGTTCATTTCCTGAAAAAAAAATAAAAAACAGGAAATATTTTGAAATTCTGTCGTTGTTAAAGAATTAAAATAGTAAGATCTGAGGGACGTTTCGGAAGAACGTATCGCCTCCATCTTCAGGGTAGAAGAAAAAATATAAGAACTCTGCAAGCGAAGAGACCGTGAGAACCGGTAAAAGCAGTCTGCTGAAGACCGAAGACCTGAAGATGGAGGCGATTCGTTCCTCCGAAACGTCGGTTAACACCACATATACACGGTGCCAAATCCCAGAAGACTGCTTTCTTCAGTTAAAATAGTGTCTGCTACGTTCAACTTGATTACTTTGGAGCAGAAATATGACTGATTCTGACCGGTTGCACTGTGAGATGTGATCACGTGATCTACGGGCAAGAACCATCGCAAGCCCTCGGTCCAGTGGTCAGGTCAGAAAGCATGCCATGACCAACTGTTAGCCTTGACGCAATTCTTGCTGCATTTGTGTACTGTACATTGTATCATATATCCGTCCACAGGAGTGTCTTTCTTAACCTGCAATTAGCGAGCGCCAGGGCCTACTGGAAATTTGGGGTTAAGGTAAAAAAGAGGTAAACTTGTCCCTGTGCATAATTAATTAAGCACACAACATGAAGACGCATAGGGGAGTGGAGGTATAGCTGAGCCATTCTGAACCTTGGCAGTAGATGGCAGTGAGTGGTCAGATTGACGCCCCTGCCGCTTTAACCCATGTACCAATTGTATAGGAGGCTGGGTGGGCCACAAAGACGATCTCGATATTATGAAGAAGAGAAAATCTAGTGCCCCAACCAGGGATTGAACTCTGACTCCTCGGCCTACCAGTCATTATACCGACCGAGCTGTCCTTACTCGGGGTTAGGAGTAATGATCCTTCGGGGAGATCTTGAAGGTTAAGATTATTATTTTTTTATTGCTAGTGGGGTGGGACTAAGTCCCTTACACTGCGGCCACTTCTGGCCTATTGTACCAGCCCCAGATGATAGGGGAGGGTGATTGTGGAACAACTGGTGGAATGAAGATTGGCAGTGGAAACCGAAGTACTGGGAGAAAACCTTCCCCAGCGCCACTTTGTCCACCACAAATCCCACTTGACAAGACCCGGGATCGAACCCGGGCCGCCGCTGTGGGAAGCCAGCGACTAACCGCTTGAGCTATGGAGCGGCCCTAGAACGTTACCTGTAGACCACTGTGTCCACTAAGGTTAAGATTAAGTAAGATACACTTAAACACAAAGCGGAAAGATGTCCTCCGGTTCAGAGGTTTACGTATGATTTCCAAACGCACGCTTTGCAATTTGAAATACCTCGTTCACCTTGAATGTTCATTTATTATGGGTTTATAGATGCATATCATTTGAAGATGCTATCTTCTGGGCTGTGACGTTGCGTAGTCTGGTATATGTTCACCGACATTTCGGAGGAGCGCGCTGTTTCCATCTTCATGGTAAAAGGATAAGCCGAGCGTGGGAAAAGTACCTTTCTTAGAGGCAAGGCCAGAGTTTTGAGCGAACTAATATAAGTAAGGAGAATGAATAGAGAAATGTAAATCTCACAGATCTTGCGATAGAAACCTCTATGTATCACTTAGCGTAGAGTCGAACGTTATGCCTGTTTCTCCCGGTGTTTCGTTAAACGTCTGCATATCAAGAAACATTTCAATTAAGTATATATATATAGATTGATTATATATATATATATAAATAAAAATGTAAATATTCGTTTGAGTCTTACCTAAGATCTCCGAAACTTCTTCACCGATCGCTTCGA